CGTTTCGCTATAACATAATTAAGTGAATTAATAGTATATATATATATAACGGACATATAATTGTATATTTCCCTCTACGATTTTACACTTTAAACTATAAGAAAGGTGAAAGTTATATTTGATGGAGAATTAACAGAAGAGAGCTAATACAAAAATACTGTTTTATAAAAGCCTATCATTTCACTTTCATAAATAATTAATAGATTACGATCGTTCCTTAAAATTCAACGTTTATATTTATTCGTTGGGCCGAAAGTTAGTAGTAAAAAGGATCTCTTGACATTCGACGATTTCTTATTAAAATAAAATTACCATAATATGATTTACATTTAGATATATTTTGTAATAAAATTTGTCACAAAAGGATCCTTAAATATTTTTCTTCAATTTGGCTTGTCTTTTTAAAAATTCAACGATTAACACAACAACTAATCATGAAGTTTAATTACTCACGTTAGGATAGGTCGAAAAGAAAGTGAGACGATGTAGTAATAACGCCTGATGTTCAAAGTAATATTGCGCATACATACGTGATCCTCGAGGTAATTTCAAAGATCATACTTTCAAAGATTTTTTTTACTTTTCTTTACTACAATTAATCTCATTATTGATTATATACGTCGATTGAAGTTCTTATAAATGATCTGAAAAATGTAGAAAGCTTATCTACTTGCCATATTAGACATCACTTAATAATCGGACTTGCTTCAATATAATAACATATTAAATATAAAGACTTTTATACCATAAAAGACTGTATAGTCAACCAATTCATGAAGATTAACCCTATGTTGAAAATATATTTCACCATTTATAATGGTTTCTTGTTACTTCTATTTCGTAACATTTTGACGTAAAAATCTTTACAGGATTAACGTGAAATCAGAATTAACTGTGTTTTATCACGTTACTCAGTGACTGCTAATTATGAAATAAATCAAGTTAGATAACTCATTAGATAACTTTTATACCGATTCAAACTTATCGGAGGAACATTCAAAGATAAAAAAAGGAAAAGATAAATAAAAAAGAAGAAAAAAGAAAAAAGATAGAAAAAAAAAAAGATCAAGAATCGAAGTAACTGCGATATTTTCGTATTATCGACTTTGAAAATATTTACAAACGATGTTACATCGTATAGGAGAGAATGACATAATGACAATTCGCTCAAAATAATATATATAATAATTTTTTTTTTTCTAGATTTCATCCGACCCTGGACAAAGTTGTTCGTAACGAAGGTTTCTGGAGAAAGTGAGAGAGCACGTAGCATCCTTCACCTTCACCCATTGTACCGCTTATTCGCCTTGGGTCTCGCCCGATGTTGTTACTACACGGAGAGAAACAGAGATGTTCAGTAAGTTATTTTTTCTCTCTCTTTCTCTTTCTCTCTCTCTCTCTTTCTTTCTTTCTTTTTTATTTTTTTATTTTTATCGAATCAATCAGGAACATATGTATTTTACATTATTTCCTAGCAGACTTTTATACGCAGCTTTCTACCACGATTTTTGAGGACAATTTAGAAAGTCAGTTTTATCATCGCTTGTCTCTCTTAATCTAACGTACTCTTTCTTATTTCAGTATATACTTCTAAGGAAAAGAAAAAACAAAAAGAAAAGAGAAAGAGAAATTATCTAATTGACTAATTAATTAAACAAAATTTGCATTGCCGCTCATCAAGACTAAATTGTTAGATTCGAACAGAGACTCGACGATGATCTAGGGTTTTCTAAATTCTAATCTTATTTTAGATACGCTCTGAATGGGATAAAATAAAATCATTAGAAGTATAAATAAAATAAATACAATACAAAGAATATAATGTTAAATGAAAAAACAAAACGAGGAAAATCTATTTCCATCTTTTCATTTGGATTTTATATATCGATTTCTACTAACGTATACTTTACTACGTTTATTACGAAACGGCGCTAAGTATCCCTACCTATTCACATAATTAAGGTCGATCAAAATCGTACTGCTACCTGGTAATGATGCTACTGCTGCTTCTTTTCTTTATATTTTTCTTTTAATTTTTTTTTTCTACCATAGCTTGTTCTATCGTTACGTGAGCTTTATTACATATAGTGTTTGTATTTTCAACTTATTACATTTTCCTTACGGTAACAAATTCTTAACAAGTTCTAAGAACGAAGAAAGTCGAGTAGCTTTTACTTGAATATATATGTATGTATGTGTGATTAGTAAGCAGGTTTATATTATCTGCTTCAGTCTCTTTTCGTATGGCATTACTTAATAAATAGATGAAAAAGAATAGTTATACCGTGTCGTGTAATGATGTCTATAAGCTTGTAAATGATGTAAGATATTCGTAATAAGAGTAATGAAAGCTAACTTTCAAAATAGTTTGTATGGAAATTCAGAAATTTTTGAAAACAATGTAGGAAGCCATTTGTTATGGATATTAGATGGTATTAGATAGTACAACATACGCTTCTGTTAAACGTCCAGGAAGAAGAGAGAGGAGCGGAAGTTGTATCGATTGGATGGTCTTAATACTTCCGTTGACTCACACGGAATATAGCTCACATCAAGCATGCTAACTCCCTCTTTTTTTTTCTTTTTTCTATATAAGAGAGTGAAAGGAAATGGCGATTTAGCGTGTACACGATTTAAATACCTATTATGTCAAACATTGCTCAGTTTCGGATATTAAGCAAAATTATTATAATAGTACAGGGTGGGCCAAAATATCGTTAAGATGATTTAAAAAATCAATTACTCTTTTTAGAAATTGTTTAGACTTAGCCTTGTTTGTATTACGTAAAATCTTAATTTGTAAGTTTTACGAATAGAAAAAAATTAGCGTCGAGAAAATATTGAAAAAAATTAATTGATTTTTTATATTACCTAAGAACTTTCGACCCGTTTTGTATTTCTATTTATACTCGGAAGTAAATTTATGAATATATAATACATATCATGTAGAACAGGAAGCAAATATTGCGTTCAATGACACAACGAAATCAATTTAAAACAACATACGAAAGTAGCCCGAAGCTGCGTTCACCCACTAAACGAGTAACTTTTGATCCCTTTCTACTTGAAACCTTTCTCTCTCTTTCTCTCTCTCTCTCTTTCTCTCCCTTTCTCTCTCCCTCTCTCTCTCTCTTTTTCTTTTTCTTCCTTTTTCTTGTTATATCTATCCTTGCCTTTCTCAATATCTGCACATACTTCCTACTTCACGGCATCTCCTTATAATTGCTAGATTTCTCTCCGACACCATACTAACACTACGGTAAAATAAATGTTTAGCAATAGAGAATTTTTGAATTCTCATATATAAATTTCGCAAGATATTAAAGGATTAATAAGGAACGCCTTTTTTTTTTTTTTTTTTTTTTAACCGAAGAAACATGCTCTATCAACCTTGCAATATAGAATAAAATATCTATACTCCAATCGGATATCAAAGTAAAAACTGGAATATCTAATATCGTTCATTAATTATTTGCTTCTACTAATTTTAAATGAACACTATATAATTATTTTCTGTCATGCTTCAATGATTGTCCAAGTACTTATAGTATAATTATAAGAAAACAATGGTGGAGATTGCCATACTGTAATCTTCTAGATGCACCTGAATCGTAGCACGAACGATAACAAGAAGAAGAGTGTCACTATTAAATTGCGTTTCCTTTTAACTTTCTAAGCTGTCACGAATGATCTCAAACAGAAACCCTTTCGTACGTTTATTAAGAATTTCAAAGTTTAACAATTTATCTTTATCTATGACTGATACAAAGATTAACAAATATTATATATCGTAGATATATTATATTATATAAATAGTTAATGTATACCTGTTGAAGATGACCATATTCAGTACCCGGTAAAATCGCGGGATCAGCTTCAGCGATAACGAAGTCGTTCGATCGAAGGACGAATAAGGTCCACAGAAAGCACAATAGGTTCTTTCTCTTCATCACGAATAATTAATTTTATCGATATTTTGAAATTCACACTCTATAATATTAAATACACTCTTCAATTTTCTTTCGTGAAACTTTAACGCCAAAAATGTTAAATAGCTTCACTTATTTTCTCGTTCGTTCATCTACTATCTTTGAACTCCTGCGAATCGATGAGAAACGATTTTTATTCAAGCTAGGAGAACACTTTTTAAACTTGGGAAAATAAAATAGACCAAAAAAAAAAAGGAAATAAAAATGTTATAATATCATTACCGTGCTAATAAAAAAAGATATCAAATTAGTTAAATCAAATATGCGTATTCTTCTTCGAGTAATGATATTCTTCTTCTTTATCCTATTTCATAAGAAAAAAAAAAAAAGAATTGATTTATTAGTTCGCGACACACGTTTATCTTCTCGGGCTCTTTCTTAAGAGCGGGAAGGTGAAGCTCGGTTAATAATTTGGCACATCGGCGAGGACGAGCTCAGAACTGTTGGAGATCGGAAAACGTCCGAGAGTTTTACTTCTCTGAGGAGGAAAGAGTTCTTCAGGTCGGTCAGGTGGGAGACGGGCAGGTAGAATGGTGAACGTCGACCAAAGAACCCACTTCTTCGTTACGTATTTTCTTCTTACTTACGAAGGATGCTGGTGCTTCGTGAATACCGTTCAAGATATGCATGTAGTACCTATGAATCTAGCGACGCGTATAAAGTTGGAATTGCGTGTATACTTATGGGTCATGGATATTTGATTGCTACACCATTGTAGATCAGTTGGCTTATACACTGACCCATGAACAAGATAAAATGCATGTTAGTAAATAAAATTAATATGTAGATAAGTTTGATATGGTTTGACATATAAAAAAAACCTTTCATAAATTTGCAACATCGATAGTGCGCGAGCTCCACGATCGACGTTGTTGTTCGATGAACCATAGAAATGATTCATTATAATAAAATGCATAAAAATAGATTACGAGATCGATTTGTCACAATGATCGAATCTTTAATGGTGTTCTTTTCAATATCTCTTGAACTAAGTACAACGAATCCATTAAAATTTTTTTCAAACACGATCGTTCCGATATACTTTCTATCTTACGTATATTCTTATCGAATTTCATAAAATTTTCTTTTTAAATTATTATACAACGTACAGTCAAGATAATAATTGACTATATCTTATTGGACTATCTCCCACGCCTGCTTTCGTTATTTTTCTAATAAATACAAATATCAAAATAGGTAATAACAATATAAAATTGCGAATTACATCAAGCCACGATCGTTGAAAATGTTCGGTTACACCGGCCTCGAGACTTCCGGTTAAGAAGTGCAAAACGAAAGCATACAGAGCTGGATGCCTGCGAAAGTATCGGACGTTAGATTCCATTCACCGGCGAAGTGCCTCGCTGAACAATCTTACTTGCCAAGAAAAACGCTCACTTCATGGATGGGAGAAAGAATCGTAGAACTATATTTTTATATCGTAAAAAATCAATATCCTTTTACAAAAACGATTGGGTTTATGTTTTATGACTTTCTGTATCTTGCTAGGTCGTTTCTTAAGAAGACTCCTGTAATAATATAATCTTTTACTTATCTGGAATTATCCTTATTTCGGGATATATATATATACAATATCAAAGAAACAAAAAAAAATATCAATTTTATCTAAATACTGTCGAAAGACAACGCACTTTTTCTTTCGAAATGATTATACTTTTTGATTATCCAGCTTCCTTTTGTGATGTAGCCTCAGGCTGCGAAAATGGGTTCGGTCATCTTCCTTTCTCCTCTCTCCAATCATACGATGAAAACAAGTTTCAAGCGAAACTCGAGGCACCATATGCCTAAGGAAGAACAATTCTCATATGAAAAGGGATTCCCAATATAAGAATACGCTATGTTCTAACAAAAAATTCAAATTATACATCACTTCTTTGATCATAATATAATTAAAATAAATTAATAGTACCTGCCTCTCGAGAATATGTATATATATATATATGTATATATATATATATATATATATATATATATATATATATATGATTATAATTAATAATAATGATTATAAATGTTAAAAGACGTTCGTGTTCCTTTCGATTTTGTTCTTCGTTTCCATACATGAAGACGCGCGAAGTTTACTAACTTACTATAACGTATAATCCCCAAGAATAGACGTTCTTTCTCGTGCGATATTTACTACTGGCGTACAATCTACTTTCTTTCTTCGCACGGTGAGACCGCTATTACTTTCTTTAAGATACGCAATTTCCGAGGAGCCGAATAGAAGAATTCCGTCTAGAGAATATAAATGTCCGTCTCTCCGTTGGTATAATGAAGATTTCGAGAGACAGTATATTTCTTTGTACTCCGTCTAGATATCATTTCAACATAAACTTCTAATGCAGAATCCTTTCATTGGTGAAGGTATGCCTCCAGGAATATATCCTTTCTAGAGTACAAGCACGCCAATCTTTTGCAAATAAAAAAAAAAAGAAATAAGAAAATAATAAGTAATGATCTTATGACTATGATACTTTCTTGTTCGTATTATAGGAAAATGATGAAAGAATTGAGAAAAGTTTATTATGCAAGCGAGCACAGTTTCAGGATGCCTATCAGAATCGAAACATCTTTTCTGATGCGAAAAGTATTGTATACGGATAGCGTGTATGGGAAAAATGGCTTTCATCTCGAGTATGGATCTCGTTAAAAAGCGTTTCACTCGAATGAAAGAGGGCGGAAGTTGATTATAACTAACTAACGACTATGCGACGTAAAAGTAACTAATTGATAATTAAAAATTACTTTTCTCTGCTCTATTTATGAATGAATCATTGGTAAAAATAATCAAATAAATATTATTTATTATCATTTATTACTTTTATTATTATTATTATTATTATTATTTTTAAATCGTTGGAATTTTGCGCCAATAATAAACAAAAAAGAAACAAAACAAAAAAAGTTTAAACAACGAATGTCAATGAGCCGATTACGTAAGTGAATAATAATTCAGAAGGTAATAATTTCGTTGGAAACACGAGCGTTCTAATATCTGAGTTTCGTGTCCGACTCTCTGCGAATTTTCTCGACGTAATCGTCAGATAATTTGCCGACGTGTCAGCAGTCATCGTGGCTACGTTGCATCGCGATAATAACGCGATGCAAAAGCGCGGGACTTTCCAATTATTTGCGCGCAGTTCGTGAACACTACGAAAATAATTTTAACGTTGAGAAAATAATTCTGATAATCTAAGGTTTCGCTTACTTCATTTTTTGCCCTTCAAAAGATCATTTCTCTTTGTTCTTTTACAGAATAAAGGATATTATCCATTGTTCTTAAAATATTATATGATTTTTTTTTTACCAGATACAGATTGTCCTCTACTATTAAAAAGTATACACATCACAATACACAAATAACGTTAAAAAATTAATAGATATCAAAATAACTAAATTGATTTGATTCATTCCTTCGAAAGTATTTCATCATTTTTGATATCTTTCGTCCTGCAAACGCCATCTTGTATTTCTCCATGTAAATTCTAGAATCAAGTGTAACACTATCTTGAAATTCACGAGTACAATATTTACATTAAATAATTAACGAATATACGCGAATAAGATTAAAACAAATTTAATAATTCAGAAGGATTTTATATTTGGTGAAAAAAATAATTCGATGACTTTTCAAACACTATTTTAACTCTGAGTGAAATCACGGTCAAATGATTGAATTTTACGTGTCTTTTATGTTTATGAGAGCGATTGTATAGAGAGCTTCGTGATATTTAAGAGCTTGAGATAATTCAATTTTCAAACCTCGTGAGAATGAGTAATACTCCGAGTTTTCATATAGTTTTGAACAATTTATTCACCGCGAGATGTCAGTAGCAATACGAGCGCCCGATGTTTCGATATATCGAAACTCGATTAGCTTTATCCTCCTTCTCGACAGTCCTATATCTCATCAGAAACCTTTTCTTTTCGTTGCAGTACAGAAAAGCCATACTTGAAGAAACCTGTAAATTATCTAACCTACATTCCAAGTAAAATTCCTTTCCACGTTTAGATCGCAAGATTTTCAAGTAAATTACGTGAAACTGACATTTCAATGTTTATATAAATTTTTGATGTGACAGCTCGTGGTTAGCTGAGGTCGACATTTGTTCGATAGTATCGAGTTTCTTTGGCAGCTCGAAAGTAAAATGGCACTCGATCGTAGATTAGAATGTTATTAGTCATTCGTTGTGTCGTGTTTGTAAGTAAATATCAGCTGAATGTATAAAGCGAAACGAAGAGAGATTCCATGACGGCGTCTATCTGACGGATATTTTATAAATAAATCCAGCTGATAAAAATCTTACGAAAAATGGGCCTTTTCCCGAATTCATCGCCTTTCGATGCTGACGTCGGTGAGTGAACAGTATAATTCTAGCCTATCCTTAATTCGTTTATGATCCAACGTTCTTAACAGGAGACTCATCGATTGAGAATGTGTTTCATTTTATTACATTTCTTGAATACATTGATATATCATATCGACGATGCGCTATCATTTACAAATATTGAAAAACCAAAACTCTATAATGAAGGCATTAAGCGGTTGTTGACGTTTGACCTCTAATCGAGACTTCAAAAGCGCATAGATTTTCTGCAACGATCGCTTTATGACCCGCCTTTTATCGCAATCTATTTTTTACTGAGATTATGATACATTTCTGTTTATGTCAAAATACATCGGCTTCATTGAAATAAATAGAATTAAATACTTATGAGATATGAAACTTGATTTACATCAACATTGTTTTAATACTTCTTTTTTTTTCTTTTTTCTTTTTTTTCTTTTCTCTTTTTTCTCATACATTGTATATTTTTTATATACTTATTTTACTTGTCTCTAATGAAGGATTAATATATTATTATTATATTAATACATTAATTATTATAGACAATGAACTTTATTGTTATAACATTTTTTTTTTGTACATTTGTTTGTCATAGAGAAAGCAACGAATGAAAATAATACATCAGAAGATTGGGAGAAGATATTGGAAATCTGTGATCGAATTGGTAATTCTTCTCAGAATGCCAAAGACTGCTTACGTTCTATTGTTAAAAGATTAAATTCTCAAGATCCACATATTGTTATACAAGCCATAACAGTTAGTACCTTATCATTTGTATGTAAGCTATAATAATATTATGATGATTATTTTAATTGTGTCTTTCCACTTAGTTATTGGATGCATGCTCAAGCAATTGTGGAAAAACTTTCCATTTGGAAATAGCATCTAGGGACTTTGAAAATGATTTGAAAAAAATGATTAATCATTCTCAACCTAAGATTGTGGAAAAAATAAAAATACTTTTGAAAAAATGGGCTGAAGGTGATTTTAAAACAGATCCTCAACTTAATTTGATTCCAAGTTTATACAATAAACTTCGAAATGAAGGACTTGATTTTTCGAGTGTATCAGAGACAGTAAGTTGTAATTAATAATTTAGTAATTTTTATTAATATTTTATAATGAATCAATATCTTAGATATAATAACCATTATTTTTTTTACTTTTCATTTGAACTTTCTATTTGAAATTAATATATATATATATATATTCATTTGTAAAAAATTGCAGCCAAAACGTTCCAGCATTTTAAGTAAAGATCCAAATGTAGTAACAAATTCTCAAGAGGAAGAAGATCTAGCAAAAGGTAATCATTTTGTAAATATAATAAAAATTTAAATTATCTTCTAAATAAAATAAACAACTAATGCTTATATTCATAAATAGCTATTGAGCTCTCACTGAAAGAAAGTAAACCTCAAGCGAGTTCCTCTCATGGTTCACCAGCATCTAAAAAAAGTACTAGTTTATATCCAAGTGTAAATTCTATGCTTACTACCTCGAATACATCAGAAGGCCGCAAGGTTCGAGCTCTTTATGATTTTGAGGCAGCTGAAGATAATGAATTAACATTCTTAACTGGTGAAATAAGTATGTTAAAATTAAATTAGTTATATCTCTAGTTTTAAATTGTTTCATATTATTATTTGCTTATGATTTACTATTAATCATATTTCAGTAAATATTTTGGATGATTCTGATCAGAATTGGTGGAAAGGTAGTAATCACAGAGGAGAAGGTCTTTTTCCTTCTAATTTTGTTACTGCAGATTTATCGGTAGAACCTGAACAGTTTACAAGTAAGTATAAGACTTGTTTTTCTTATTAAAGCAAATTCAATAAAAATAACATACTTATTTACAGAGTTAGAACATAGTAATAAAAAATTAGTTCAGTTTGCTGAAGAAGTAGAGGTAAAAACACTAAAGAGAGAATTAGAAGTGATAGAAGTGGAAATAGATGAAAAAAAGATGGATAGACTTTTACATTTGTTACATGAAGCTGATCCACAGTGTGATAGTTCATCTGACCCTCAAGAAATGCTTGATTTAGAAGGTATAATAAATACAATATATAAGACAATAATTATAGTTAACTATTATATATATTAATATTAATATTCATGATGCATTACTTTACAGAACAAGTAACTGCAATGGGTCCATTGATTGATGCAGCTCTAGAAAAAGTCGATAAACGACACGCTCAACTTACTCAATTGAGTTCTGATTTGGTTGAAGCTTTGAATATGTATCATACATTAATGCGGGAGCCTCCTCCTCCAGCACAATCTAATTACACAATGCCTAAAATGCCACATATCTCTTATCCATTTCCTAATCAGGGACCACCACCACCATCTCCTCATGTAAGACTAATTAAAGCAAATATTTTTTTTTATGTAATTGAATTAATATTTAATCATAACAACACTTGTTTATCCTTACTTTTAGATGTTTAATGGAATGCCAACACCACATCCGGTACCTTTCTCAAATACAGGTGGACCTCCAGCTCCACATGAATATATGGGACCTTCTAGTATACCAAACATGGCATTACCACCTCATTTTCGTATACAAGCTGGTCCTCAGCCTCCAACAGGACATCCACAAGGTCCACCAGTGCCTGAACAAACACATCCCTATCAACAACAGGGGTATGTGCATTTATGAATATGACCTAAACATTTTTTGTGATCTTATGTGAAAGCTTAGTAAGTGAGATTTTTTTGTTTTCAACGATTTATTAGAGCTTGAAAAAGGTATTTTTGAAACATACGTTATCGACTGCAAAGTGAAATCATCAACCTGCTTATTTCCAACTAAAAGAATAAATCAATGGTGTGCAATCTTATGTAGCAGATTTCCGCCTCAAACTGGTCCTGTGCCAGCTCAATATGGTCCACCGGGATCGACAGGACCTTCGATTAACCATCAACCACAATATGCTCCATCGAGTGGGCAACGTATGATATAAGTAAAAATTACGCGTTAAAAATTCACATTCTATTCTAACTCATGCTGTACAATATTACGATATTATAATTATTTAAATAAAAATACCCGAAATAGCCAAAGAAAATTGGTTTTTAATGAACGCTTTACGTTTGACTTTATATTGAATTTGGTATTATGTAAGCTTGTATTTGTAGATATACGCGACAGTGCATATATAAAAACGCGTAAAAACAACTAATTTATTTAGTCTCTTTGAGCATTTTCATATTAGTTTGTAATTTTGGCTTTTTGATATTCTTATGTATTGTGTTTGAATAACCTAATTCTTTAAAGCATTCCACGTTTTAAATTTCATTATTTTCTATCATTTAAATAAACTTTAATATTATGATTCGACACTGTGATATTTGAAAGAACATTTATTAGTTACTAAAGTGTTTTCGAAATAAATGCTTGGAATTTTTATCATAAAAGAGAATGATGTGAAATTAATAAGTCTTAAAAACTGTGTTTCAGAAAATCTTTAGTACAGATGTTGAATTAATCGTAATGTTATCGTAATGTCTTGTATACATGTTTTTACAACAGAAGTAACATTATATAAAAAAATGACAGTGTATCGATGAAATGCTGTTACTAAATGTATCTTGGGTTTTTATTCTTTTTCATGTATTCTTTGTACATTGTAATAATACTTTAAGAGATAACATATTGCATCTTAAAAGCATTGAAAATAAATTATAAATGCAATGTTATTTACGCATTATTGGAAAGAAAATTTTCATGATCTGGTCTAGTCTCTTTACTGTACATATAATAAGATTAATTCCTATTAATGGTTAAATGAGTTGTGTCATAAACAAATTTTTATGGAATGTTGATGCATTGTATTCGCATAATACTATTTTTACCGTCACAATTAAAAGCCTTATATCTTCGTCAGAAAGAAAGAAAGAAAGAAAAAAAAAAGAAAAAAGAAAAAAAAAAAGAAAATAAAGTAAAATACCACTCTTAAGATAACCTTTTGTAGCTACGAATATAGATTATGTAATTAAAGATACAAGTAAACTTGTTGACATTTTTGGCCATTTGACAAAACGTAGAACACATAGCTGTGATTGTGCAATACTTGTAAGAAATGCGAATTATACAAAATAGATAGAGAAAGCATAACGAGTAAAATAAAATAACGCGTTATGAATAACTCTATAATAAAATTATAAACACGTTTTATGTGAAATATATAAAAAAAAAAAACTATGAATTAAATTTAATGCAAGCGACAAAATATATCGATATTTTGCAACGATCGTAAACCAAGCATGAGGTTTTACATACAGTGTTATTAAATGATCGTAAGTTTTGATAGATTTTCTGAAAAACAAATGTACACTGTATACTATATTTAATAGCTCCATTAAACTATCATTATTTACGTTATAAAGAAACAACTCATATTGATTCGCATATGTATATCCATTAGATATAGTAAAAAATTAGAAGTATTGAATAATTGTAAATTATGTAAATATAATGCAGTAGATCCTTCATGTACCACAATACTCAATACGTGTTAAATAGTGTTAATGTAATATTTTCTAATGAATAATCAGTTTTTAATAGTTTATAAATGAATATATTACAAATTAGACACATGGTATAACCGTTTGATACAAAAGAAAGAAAAAAAAAAAAAAACAAAAAAAAAATTTAACGACATGCTTTCACTAATTTTGTATTGATAATTTTTTTATGATTTTGTAATTTTTTATCAGAAAATATATATTGTCCGTATACGATGCATGATTCTCTATTTAGATACGAAAAGCTAGGTTGGCACTTTATTTAAAAGCAGACATAAAAGCTTTGCTTTGTGAAATTTTTGAATAATTAATAAATTATTAGTACGCTTTAAGATCATATACATATAAATGAAAAATTATACGTTCCTGAGTAGCTTTTTTATGATTATCCTTTTTTATAATAATACCCTGTTTGAGCTATCCTTTATAAAACTATAATCTATGTCATTTATTAATAGTTTCGTTTCAAGTTATTTGCACAGCAATCCTTAGCTAATTTATAGCAATGATTTTGCTAAGACTTCGTCCTGACTAATATACATATTGTATGTTAAATAATAACGATTGATGTATTAACAGGTAAAGGAATATCTTTCTAGAGATTTTTATTAGATAGTTATCGACACATTATTGATGATGAGATTATATATTATCGCACCATAGAATATCAGCATATCGATCCGTAATAGATCGATTGAGTCTTCCTCATAACTATTTAACTGATAAGATCGTTAGAGTAACGAGAAAATTCCCTTGACAATGGCATTCCTGGATCAACAATGAACTAAACAGCCTTGAAACATTTGCACTCTAGATCCTAGATTCTACAATCTGCTTCATATGTGACTGTCATAGATGACAAGAAATCATTTTTCTTTGTTATGTATTAAAGAAATGTAAAAATATCTTGTTCTTCGAAAGATGACACAATTTCAAAATTGAATAAATTTTCGATTTCTCGAAATAGTCGATAATTAACATGAACTATCCAAAATTATTAGGCATCTCTTACATATATATATATATACGATCTTGTAGAATCAACTTTTCTACCAAGCTGGAAGTCAGGGTCGAATTTGATGGACATGATATTTATAAAACATTCTAATCAAAATAATCCACGAAATGGAATTTTTCTATCAAGCAGCCGCGACAGTTCGATCAAAACTTTTACTGCTCATCTATCTAGCTCAAGGGTACCTTGAGATCGCCTTTGAATGATGATGATGATAATAATGATGATGTTGGTGATGACGACAACGACGACAACGATAATGTTGACAGATGGTGATCGGTTTGTCATAAGATACTATGTCAATGTTAATCTATTTCGCGAAATGAACAAGAGAGAAACTCAGCATCTGAAATTTAACTTTTCGCATCATTGAAGATTCTCGATCCTATCATTTAAAAAAACATTGTTATTAAGTTTAAGGCCGTACGTTCCGATGTAACGCACTTATCGAGTATCGTCGATCAAGGAAGAAACACATAATCGAGTTTGTTACGTCGTGTCTACTTATATTCTTTTTTTTTCTCTCTTTTTTTCTTTTTTTTCTTTTTTTTTTTTTTTTTTTTTTTTTTTAAGGAACAGTGATGTAGTTATGAAAGGTGCAAATTCGATCATCAAATTTATCGCTCTATCGAACATGACATTGACGATCCTCGAAAGGTCACCAAACTCGTAATCCTCGTGTTAATCCTTAATATGGTTTCTCATGTGAAGCCATTTAGAAATGGTTCAAGGCCGAACCTCGTTATGTTTTTCTCTCACTTCTCCGTAATATTTTGACAATATTACGTTTCTCGAAAAATTATTAACAATCGACGAGCCATTCTTTTTTTATTCTCTTTGACGAACTCGAAATCATTTTATTATTTTTATCTTCTTTTTTTTTCCAAGATTATAAAATCTTTTCCATTTTAGTTTGAAACAAAGCCAAACACATAATCTCTGTTCGTAGCTTTCGTTCGCGAAAGGCTGGTAAATATAAATTTACTATTTATGTCTATGTACTTCTCAATCCGTTCGGATGAGTTTCTTCGTAATAATCGTGTTTTTGTCCTTGTTCGTAGGCATCAGACTCTCATTGCGATCCGTGAAGAAGAAGCCGCGGATAATAACCATACGAGAGACGCTTCGACCCATTTCTCGAGGTCGTCAGTTCCGAAGAAAGAGAAAGAAATAAAAGAAAGAAAGAACGTTTCTTCGCTCCTTGAATCCTTGCTCTTTTCCTCATAATCTCTCCCTCTTCTTTTTTTTTTTTTCTTTTCTTTTTTCTTCTTTGACCGTTTTAGGAGTTAAAGTCGCGAGTACTTCAAAAGAAGAATTGTGTTTGCAAAATCATCTTGACACTCAACAACATCTTTCTCTCGATAATACTCATTATAAACATAAAGAAGAAAGAAAAAGAGAAAATCGAAAGAGCTTTTAATCTCACGCAATTTTATTTTACATCTATATACTGTTACAAAATCTTCCTGTTGTAAAATTCGACGTGGTCATTTATATTTCCTTTTGAAAACAACAAAGATCTAAGCTTTTAAATATATATATATATTTTTTTTTTTTATTTTTCTTTCGACGAAAGTGGTTGCGGGTTAATCGAATAAAGAAAATACATCACGATCTTTGCTTAAACTAATGTCAGGGTTGTAAAATGTCTTCAATATCCATTTATAAATTATTTGTAGTTTCATCTTGTATGAAGAATGCAAAAGGCCCATTGTCATCTAATAACGAACAATCATTCTCTTATTCGTTTTTCTCTTTTTTCATCTCTTCCTTTTCTTTGGATACGACGACTATGACGACACGGAAGGAAAAACTTGAAACTCATTGACTCTTATTTACTCTAGGCCCCACGAAACAGGTTGTTAACTTTCGCCCATTCGTAGATATCGAGGAGAAAGCAGATGTCATTTACACGCTTTTATTCGTACAATGATGAACAACTCGAGTTCCCTATTGTTATTTATTTAAAATAGAAGGAAAAAATAGAGGAAAGTTTTCAAACGATGAAATATGATATTATATGTACATACATATATATTCGTCTAATATAATACATAAGTATGACTAACTTTAATGTGATTATCTACGAATAAAAAGTACTTTGAAAAATTTAATTCAAAAATTTCTGGATTAATATCATCAGTCTTTTAAAAGGGAACGTAGAGTAACATTAGGTGAACTTTCGTAAGATCGTAGAGCAACGAATGGAACTGTGTTATCGAGATTCATCCTAGTAAAATTCGCACCATTATTCTGAGACAATGTTTATTGTTGTGACATGCCATTTTTAAGGATCGCAACTTTGAGTGCTTGAATAAAGTTGTTAAACTCGAGAGGAAATAATAAATAATAGTAAAAAAATAAAACCAAAAACAAATTGTTTCAAAAGTACACGTAATACACAAACGAAAAAATTATTCGTTGTATCGTTCGTAGTAAAAATAAAAAGAAAGTAGATAAGTAATAAAAAAAATTAAAAAAATAAAAATACAACTTTATGGGGAATCGATAAGATTTCTAATATTTCAACACATTATATCGATTCTAAAAACCTTGATTGCCTTTGATCAAATTTTGATCGCGTAAGATCGATCCGTTCTGTCTAATTTTTCTCCAAGAACCAGCCTCCTCTTCGTAGTAATAATTCAAGATTCCGCAATACAAAACAACGCTCCAGGTATAACACGGTTCGGAGATTTTACAGATAAGTCGGTGAGATTAATTGCAGAATCGCGTGGTGTCATATGTCAACGGATACCTAGGCATTATGTTGCTTGCGTACTTCACGTTTCATTCGATTTTGTTAGCCTCTTCAGTAATAACATTGTACAAATGGTTCTCTTTTCTCTTGTGAATGTTTTTTTATTCGTCCTTTTATTTTTCTTTTTATTCTTTTTTTTTTTTTTGTTAATAGGCCTTTTCTTCTCTAATAGGTCTGTTTATTATTCATACGAATGTATCAAAAAAAATCTTTAATTGAGCAAGATCTACGAACTTCTCTTAATGTAATCAAGAAATAAAAATGTAAATTTGAGAAATAATATAAATTCAATAAAATATAGATACCTTTATTTTATTATTTTTTTTATTGTATATATATATATATATATTTTTTTTTTCTTTTTTAAATCAGTCCAAAGATTATTCCAGTGAAGAGAGCTTTTTGAAAAAGACAGTTCACCATTGAGAATTCATTATACATATACCACTTTATCTCCTTCCCAGAGAATTATTACAAACGGTCACACGAATCTTTCGAAACAATCTACTTTGCATTGTGTTAGAACGGACACAAAACATACGTTGTGCAAATTCCGTATACGGGGAAATAATTTACAGTTCTGACGACATACGGATTGTTAGACTCGATATCGTTTCGTCTTCACCGATTATTCATCATAAACGAAAATATTTTATGTCGGTGTGCAGAGTCCAAAAAAAAAAAAGATATAAGATCCTTTCACATCTTATTTACATATCTTATTTATTTATATGTTTTTCGAGAATATTAAATTGTATTGAATGATGTTATCCTCCACAAGAAATTTCATTTGCATAAAATATGGATGACATTTAACGATCATTTTCTGAAATTTTCTTTCATCATCTTATACGAATAATCGTCCTTGAGAAACAAACGTTTTCTTTTCTTCGTTACATCCAAAAATGATTACAAGATCGCAACTGGACATTATTCATTTGAGAATAAACATATCGCATTTGCATCGAAAAGTTGCATCCTTTTCGTTGCATCGCGTGTCTCGTTATATACATATGTTGTACGTATGTACATACAAATAGGTTTACATTACTCAAAGAGAAACGATCTTTATCTTACAACGATTCATTTATCATTATCATCCTGTAACAGAGATTCAGAAATCTTCTCCAATTTAAAAAAAGAAGAAAAGAAAAAAACAGAAAAAAAAATAAAGTTAACATTTTTCTAATAGAATTATGTGTGCTTGCGTGAGGATTATAGAATAGAACCTTGAATACTTCAAGGACAGTTAAGATTTCAATATCTATCTTCAAAACAAAGTAATATTTTTTCTAACGGAATCGCTTATACCATGTTAATACAATACTTACATTGACAACTTCGAGGTCAACAAAGATTCAAGATCATATTCTATGGGCCATGTATTTTTATATTCTTCGAGTCCTTCTTACATAATTTCATTATACCACTTGTTAACGCAAGAAAGGATTTTTTGTTTGTTTGTTTTCTCTTGATTGCAAAAGAGAAAGAAAGAGAAAGAGAGAGAGAGAGAGAGAGAGAGAGAGAGAGAAGAGAAGAAGGAAGAAAAAAAGTGAAATGTCATTCCTAAATGAATTTTTTCTTTTTCCATGTCGATGAACTCAAATGACGGAGATTTGAGATAATTGAAGATTCTCAAGAATCCTTTATTGTCGTGTCGCTTATTTCTTAAATTTTCGTATGTTATAAAAAAAGAGAGAAAAAAAAAGTAAAATAAAATGAAATAAAATGAAATAAAATAAAATCGTGTTAAAAATGTTCAGTGAAAAATCTCTTCAATACTCATTGCTCTTATTTCGCTCTACATCCGCCTCTGCTAAAACTCTCTCGAACTACTCTCTCTTTCCTCTATCATCACCAATCTAATTCCATTCTGCTCTAGCTCCGTTCTCCCGCTCTCTTTTCGCATTCCTCATCGATCTCTGCTTCAATCCTGTACACATAATATTTACTTTTAATTATCTCATTTATTAACATTTATATGTGTTATACCAGTTATATCCATATTTACGAATTATTATTTCATTTATTTAAATACGAATGAAAGAAAAAATTCAGATGCAAAATTTATATCTATTAATTATAATCAGATATAAAATTTTTTTAATAAACTTTTCAATAAATATATCATATATATTATATATGTATATATGTATATATGTATATATATATATATATATATATATATGTATGTCCATATATTTATATATGTATATACATTTACGTATATTACGTGTACACGTTTATGCATTATCGCAAGCGAAGGCGCATCACGAGTGTACGTAACAGGTTTCGAGAACTTACCAACCTTCCAACCGATAGTTATTGCATCGATATGTAAACGGAGTGAGACGATATGCATTAGTGATTCCCTTGTGCAGTCATCGTCTACGTACTTGTATCGAAAGTTTGCTAGTCGCAACGTACTTACAAAATTATCGAATCAACTTAAGAAAAAAAAAAAAAAAAAAAAAGAAAAAAAAAAGATAAAATAATTAAAAAGAAAAATAATTAACGAAGATGCTATTTCATGAGATGATCTAAATAACGAAATAAATTATTTTTCTTTTTTCTTTTGTGCGTATTATCTCATACGACGAGATTCACATTCATGCTATTCCTTTATTTTTTATCAAAATCGAAATGTATATGCGTATATACTTCATGAATTATTTCAAATAATTTAAGATTGACATTTTTTTTTAAAGACAATATAGAAAAGTACAAATCAAGTTGTAACGTGGATGACATTGACTATCCCGTTCCTCGTCGGCACCTTCGTTGCCATGGTGAAAGTTAACGAGGCGCATCTTCAAGGTCATCGTCGAAGTAAAAGAAAAAGAGGAAAAAGAGGATGAGTACAGATGGGATGAGGATCCACGTGATCATTTTTAAAATTCGGTGGACCTAGTTGATTGTACACGGAGATATCTTATAAGAAAGAGTCCACAAAACTCGTGAAAAAATGTAATCGTTGGGTGCCTAGAAAAGTGAGCTAGGAGAGAAAAAAAAGAGACAGAGAGAGAGATAGAGAGAGAGAGAGAGAGAGAGAGAGAGAGAAAAGATCGATATCTAAATTGCTCCAAGTGTTAATCACTCTATTGTGTATTTTTATTCGATAGACGCAAGCATACGTGTCGTGCCTACGCGATTATGAGTGAAAATACAAGAGAGAGAGAGAGAGAAAGAGAGAGAGAAATATATATATTACAACACGAGAGAAGCAATTACAAGCACGGATCTTCTTTATTTTTTTGTATTCGCAAAAACTGCGATATCTATGAAGTATGTATATACGTATGTATTAGAGAATGTTGCTAATAGAATGATCGATAAAAATATCGAGTTATTAGAAGAACGATTTATATCATTTCTTACGAAAGACAGAAGAGAAGAAAGAAAAAGAAAAAAGAAAGAACAAAGAGAAAAAGAAAGAAAAACAAGTTAATCTAAAAACAATTAATTCGACCAATTTAAAAAAATTGAAGAAAAAAGAACTTGTGTAAAGAAACTTACACGTGGGTCATGACTAGAGACTAGGTCATGACATATATGTATGTATATATGATCCATAACTAATAGGGACTTGGTCATAATATATATATATATATATATATATATATATATATATATATATATATATATATATATATATATATACACATATATGACCCATGCCATAATTGTCAGGATATTTCTTTCTTCCTTTCTTTTTTTTCCCTTCTTATGGAATTACATACAAAGAGAACGTATCATACGCGACTCGAATCTTTTTACGACTTCTTGGAGAGCCCCATCAAAACCTCGCGATTATGCGGAAGGAACGTGCATTAGCACATAAAACAGGATAAAACGTGAATGGGCGCATGTTTTTTTTCTTCTTCTTCTTCTTTTCTTTCTTTTCTTTCTCTTTTCTTTTTTTTATTTTATTTGTTTATATTTTTTTTTTTATTATTTTTCACTTGTCTGTGAGCCAAAAGAAAGAAATGGAAAGTTCTTCGTTCATTCTTCTCATTCTTGGTTTGTTGGGATAAATGCTCTTGTAATGTAAGACATTTTAAATATTCCAACGATACTGGTAATAGCTTTTAATGTCGTATCAATGGAAAAAAAAAAATTTTTATCTCTCTACTATTATTATTATTATTATTATTATTATTATTATTATTACTATTATTATTAACTTTCAATGGGAATAGAAGAAACTCTAGGCGTCACTTTTAATACTATCGTTTAGAAAATCGGGAAAAATTACACAAAGAGGATGTGCTCGAGCACGCGAGTCGAACAAAGAAATCGTTTATCGATAAGAGAATGTAAAAAAAGATTGAAAAGGGGAGAGAAAGAGACAGAGAAGAGAGAGAGAGAAAGAGAGAGAGAGAGAAGGAAGAAGGGTGAAACGAATCGCTTGACCTTTGAAAATGAACAAAATCGAATGTACGAGTGGTTAACCCCTAATAACAGGTCTCTAATGACGAGCAAGATCGATTCAGACATCGTCGCGTTGTGTTGGGTCCTTGCAATATCCAGGGTGGGATGAGCTCAGAGACTTGGTGGGGACCGTTTCTATATAATCGTCGGCAATGGGGCCCGTCTCTCCACATCCTATCAGTTACGTTTCTTTAACCGTCAACCTCTTGGCTTACCTTAAGGAAAAGAAAAAGTATAAAAAAAAAATTAAAAAAAATAAAAAAAAAATAAAAAAAAGTAAAAAAAAATAAATAAAAAACAGCGAGTGAGACAAGGTGAGTGTCGAAATGAACATCCGTTCTTTTTTTTTTTCTTTTTCTTTCTTTTTTTTCTTTTCTCTTGCTGCCTATAGTGTCACACGAATGCATCATTGAGCACGGATTTGCATTGTATTCTTCTTATATTTTTAAATCCGACATTATCACCTTTTTTATTTTTCATTACATTTTTTATTTATTTATTTATTTATTTTTTTTTTTTTTTTTATTTAAAGCAACCATCGATCGTTTTAATGCGTCGTAAAAATAGTCTTAACAAATTTTCTTAAAACTTTTTCTGAATATGAGTTATTACTTCCTTAAAAGTCAATAAAGTATTTTACAATGCAAAATGCAAAAAAAGAAAAAACAAGCTTTATCGATACTCGTTTAAGAGAAACGTTTATCGATCGCTAAGAGATTTGTATGTACGAAGGACATTACAACTCTCACCGAGCTATGGCTATAAATTCTAAAGAGATAAATGCGTTTTTTCTTCGCACAAACCTCCTATATCTTGAAATTCATATAACTTGAGAAAGATTCGAATTAATATTTTTTTTTCTCTATCCGCCTCTCTCTCTCTTTCTGTCTTTCAATTCCGTTCTCTTTTATTTCAGATGATCCTGCTGCCACTGACCTTGGTATTGGTCCTCGCAGCGATCTGCAACGCAGAACCAGCGATTAACGAAGTTAGACCTCACAGTAACAGGCCAGGAAGATTCTTATCTCTTCCGATCCCGCAAAAATGTTCGAACCGTAAGTGTTTCAGTTTTTTTAAATTTCTGATTTAAAGGTATCTTTACAATTTTTCGGATTTAAACTATACAAGAATGATCATTTCTCGATCAGTAATCTCGATTTATATTATAGATATTTCAAAGTATCTATTTTAAACG